CAAGTTGTGCCAGGGGTGGTTTAGACTAGATCTTAGGATAAATGTCTTTACTGAGAGAGTGGTCAAGCATTGGAACAGGCTGCCCAGGGAGGTGGTGGAGTCCCATCACTGGAAGTGTTCAAAAAATGTGTAGACGTGGCTCCTCAGGATATGGTTTAGTGGGCGTGGTGGTGTTGGGTTGATGGTTGGACTTGATGATCTTAAAGGTCTTTTCTAACCTTAAAGATTCTGTGATTATGTTATGACTTAATAAGGAAACTATGTCTTGTGTTCTATCATTTGATTCTAAGCTGTCATTAAACATAAACTTCTAATTTATGCTAGTTCAGATAAATTGCAGTATTTCTAATATTTGCTAAAGTAAGCAATGAGCTTAAGATGTGCCTTATTAAATCTTTTGAATTAACAAGTGCTCTTTTTTTAACTTGATGATCACTTAGCCTTCTTCTGCCAAGACTTTTGGATTACCTTTTTCTAATTACAGTTGCATTTCTTGGTCATATTAGTTTTTCAGCTCTGCTTCTACTTTTTGTACTCTTTTTGTTTCTCCTCTGCTTCCTCAATGCGTTCTTGTCTTCCAGCTTACTCTTTAAATGGGCCAGATAGACTTTTGGCTCTTTGTTGCTTTGTTTTGCTGGATAATCTCATTGCCATGTTCATCCAGAAATTGTGTTGACAACTGAGACTTGCATTTTTCTTTTCAGTCATGCCTTCACTTCTGTGAAACTGTGTTTCTCTGCCACTGCTCCTTTGGAACATACATACATTGCTCTGCATAACGCAGTGTTGTCCAAATCCTCCTGTTTTAACCAACACTGCAACATTTTGTCCTTTCTCCTTGCTTTTAATACCCTCAAAGTTCATTTGCGTCTTAATTTACAGCACTTGTCCTGCCTTCCCAAAGCCTCTGCAGTTTCCAAGTTTTCGATGAAAAGTAAAACAGCTAGAATTTCATTGTTTTCTTGTTTATTCTATATCTGTTTTGTCTCCCCTTCTTCCTGTACCACCTGAATTTTTATGATACTGCAGAATTTCTTATTTCTGTCAGAAGTCCTTCACAACGTTGTCACTGTCTACTTGATCAAATTCATCTGTTAACAGTATTTCAAATATTACTCTGAACCACGTATTTATTTCTTACATTCTCTTTAATGGTTTTTCTTCTCCTTTGCCATGTACAGGGTCTTTATATTAACCTCTAGGGAAATATTTTTCTTCCAGTTCCTCAGTATCTGCTTAATTTTGATTTGTGAAACTTGGTATTTATTGATCTTTTTAATGTTGTTTTAACCAAGAGATACTTTTCTTTTGGTCATTATTTAACTGGCTACTGTTACTGTAGTCTTCTTGCTTTTAGTATCACACTTTTTTATGTAGACTTTTGTTGTTCGTAAAAAAAAAAAAAAAAATTTCAGTCTAGTATAAAGAATTTTGCTAAAGAAGCCTGAAACAAGAAGAAAAACTTCACCCTTGATAGCAGTAATTATCTGTTTTTCTATAGTTTCTATTTGTTTCTTTTAAAAATAAAATAGCATTATTTGAATTATTTGACAGACTGACTGAGGCTGATTGTCTTCAAATTGAACCATGTTAATCCCCTGATTAATTGTAGAGTGCTGTAGGTTTTTGAATGCTTTGTGAAAATTGCTTGGTAGGATTACATAGACCGAAATAATGGAACATTGTCCCTTTTTTTGAACCCTTAAATATATGTTGCCTTGTTCTTTTGGGGGCACATACTATGTTGTAGATAAATAAATTTTACAGATCATTGTAATAAAAAAATAGATTCATAGTAACTTCACAGATGCTGCATCAACATCATAAATATGCAGACACAATTTGAGTTAATCCCCTGCTGCTTCCTGACAAGAAAAATGGACTGGTTTGAGGAAATTACATTAATCTCGCTTTCATGATTATTTTTTTTTTTATTAAAAGCCACAGCATTCTAGTTTTGTGTGTGGTTTGTTTTTTAGACTGAATCTGGCTATGGATCAGAGTCAAGTTTACGCCGCCATGGCTCCATGGTGTCTCTTGTTTCCGGAGCAAGTGGATACTCTGCAACATCCACCTCTTCGTTCAAGGTTAGTGAATAGAGTTTTCTTAGTATTGGTGCATAAATAACGTGTGCAACTGGAAAAGAAATAACTTACATGAAGACTCTTCATACAATTCTAGAAAAAATACAAAATATTTGTTTTATTCTAGGTGTTAGTAATTCATCATATGATGATGAATAGATCACACAGGAAGCTCACTTGTGCCTCTGTGCAGGTGTCTCTTTTAAGCTGTGGTGTCATCTTCCAATGGCAAGAAGATCAAACCTGTGGGAGCATTTATTCACCTTTCCTAGTTTAGCCCTCAGAATATTAGGGCCTCTAAATAAAAAGAAATACTGATTCTATGACCTAATAAATAAATTTTACTAATATTGATTGACAGATTATGGTTTTCCTTGTCTTGTGTATAATATCTAATACATGAACTTGGATGGACTGTACTTCTGGGAGAGCAGAAAAGGAGCAATGCAAGAAAGGGGTCTAGAGATTGGAACAGAGATGTTAAACTAAAGCTGAGTGTTTTCGGACAAACAGACATAAAGTTGGTAGTGTGTAAGATTGCATTTTTAATAAGGTTTTGTTGAATGCTCTAAAGTAGCAGATGCAGTCAAGAGGAAAAATTGAGACCAATGGACAAAATTACTATGGAACACTTGTTACCGTTTCTAACTTTAATAGTATTTAATAGCTGCTGATATGTATAATGCCCTTATTATACTTGAATTTGTTCTTCATAGCTGCAGAAATCCAATTTTTTTATGTGTTGAACTATTGCTGAGTACATAAAGCATTTCAGACTTTTTTCTCTTGTATTTTTAGAAGGGCCATAGCTTACGTGAGAAGCTTGCTGAAATGGAAACCTTTAGAGACATCTTGTGTAGACAAGTTGATACTTTACAGAAATACTTTGATGCCTGTGCAGATGCAGTTTCCAAAGATGAACTCCAGCGGGATAAAGGTAAAACTATAAGTGAAAACTCTTACCTTCATAGAATTTAGCTTTTTACGCAGTAGTAGCCCTTGAAATAGTTACTATAGCATTTGATGCCATATAAATAAAATCTGTATCTTAAATTTACTCTTTAGTATAGGGATCAATCTGAGATATTTCTGCATAAACAGTGTTAACTATTTTTACTTCAGAAGTTGGATTCCCATAAAAATCTGCTTAGTATTAACCTGTAGCTCTCAACTGTACAAAAGAAATCCTTATAAGCATTTGATGTTATAGAACAATAAGCTATGTAAGATGAATTTGAGTTAGTTTATCGCTATGTCTCTTACCTTTTATTTTGAAAAACCAATGGGATATTAGTTTTGATAGAAACAATACATTCTTTTATAAGAAGCTGCCATAATGAATGCCATAATGAATGCTTCTGAGATGTATTGGCTGGCACTAGAGCACTCAGTCCATAGTTGGGGCCCTAGGAGACTCAGGTGTGGATGTCTACATATCTCTGAATTACTTGTCTCAGAGCATAGCTTGTTGTTGTATCCATGCACTCTCCTGAGGCATTTAGTCATCCCTGGGTTTGTTCTGGCAGCCTGAAACTTTGGTAGCAAGAAAATAGTAGATAAGTACAATTCTGCTTCTTTGCAAACTTTCTGGTGCAGAAGAGTAGATAGTTGCTGAATCATGGCTCCCTGCTTATGCAGTTGTAACACCAAAATAATGTTGTTGCCGTAGAATCGAGTGCTAAACTTCAACACTAAGCAAATGTTAGTCTCTTGGTGGTTTCTGACAGTAACGTTGATAGGGGTCTTGGGTCAAAAAAAAAAAAGGTGTTCATGACTTGTAGGAAAAAATCTTAAATGCTGTTTAGTCATGAAGATTGCTCTTAATTCTTTCTTGCGCACTAAAGAATTGGAAAAGCTTTCTCACTCCTGTGACACACTCTCTCTCAAATTTAGTGGTAGAAGATGATGAAGATGATTTCCCTACGATGCGTTCCGATGGGGATTTTTTACATAACAGTAACAGCAGTAAGGAAAAACGTAAGTGTCCCAACTTTTCCCTGGAAATTCATATAAATGGTATAATGATAAGCCTGATACGAGTAGTTATGCTCTATTCTAAGCAGAAAATGGCAAGAATAATTATTTAAATGTATGTGACAGGAAATTCTTATTCATGTTATCATTCATTAGCTGCTTTTCATGATTTGCTGAGTTATTCTTAATTCACACAAATATTAATACAGTCTTGTCAAGCTGGAATTTCCTATTCTGTGTTCAAAGCCATTTTTGCTACAAAATTTTGTTGAAACAGCTGCATCATTCAGACACTGGTAACTGAGATTTTTAACAGCTAATTGCAGTTTTTATTGCAAGTGTTACCCGCTTTAGGAGTGTGGTGGAACACTATGCTTTTCCAGGTAGATATGTCCCAATATGGTTTTTCCAAGTTCTATGGCTACCTAATGGTTAAGTCAACACTCACTGATTCTCACTCATCATAATTTTAACACTTTTTAACTGCATTTTCCATTGTTATAATTAACATAATTCTATTTTTTATTCTTACCTTACATGATCTAGTTAGTGTACTTGCTGCATCTCTCGTGCAAGTCTTCCTGTGCTAGAATTATAATACTTCTGGCCTGGCAGAAGTTGTGTATGCTTTTAAAATCTGTTTGCATTCTTCTTAGACTTTCTCTTGTTTCCTGACTGAAATATTTTAGTGTTTACAGTCTCTAGATGTTGACAATTCACTTAGTCCTAAGGTATTTCTTAGACTTCGATTCACGAAACTTTGAAGTTGCCCTAGCTCCAGCTTCAAATCTGATGGAATCTCCCAAAGAAATACTCACCAAAAGTGTTTTTAAAAATGTAAACACTTTCATCAAGAATCTCTAAAATATATGGGCAAAATAAGCCTTTTCTGTTTTCTTTTTAATTGGCTATTGTCCCCATGGGTTACACCTTTCCGTGCTGTATTTAAGGACTCTTTCTAGAGTATAGCCAAAACTGTTGTGAGGAAAGGAAATGGAAGGAGCTTTCAGCATGCTTCCAGAATTCATCATACGAATAGATTTTTTTCCATTATATAAAGTGCTTGGTCTGAGGATTAATCCGATTATTTTAGCGGTTAAGTAGCATATAACTCTGAAGTTTTGAATAAATCTTTTTTGCATCTTATCACCAAAGATAAGCAAGCTTGTGATGCTCACCTGTAAGCAAGTGTACAGTTCCACTAACCCTATTGTGTATGTGAAAGGGTGGTCTATTTTTTGAGGACTTAAGTAGAACGAATTTCAGAAAACTGAAAAAGCCTCCTTTAAAAAAATGTTAAGTGAGACTTTAATTTTACTGTATAATTCATTTTGAAAGAGATGCCTTTGTCAGGCTTAATTTTTGTAGGGTCATGTAGGAGTTTCAGCTTAGTTTACCTTCAGAACACTTCTTCATGTCTGTATTCTTGTGGTGTATCTGCTGTATATGCACATATGATATTTGGAATGTCATTAGAAAATGCTATATTCTTTGTACATCTGGTCATCTTAAAACATTTAAATGTAAAGTAAGTGGCTTCATTTTTTTATCACCTGTTTAACAGGAGTTTTAAATGATACCCATATTCCTCTTGCAAAAAGTTCTGCATCAAGTCTTTGGGAACTTACATGCTAAGAAATGGCTATGTATTATGGGTACCTGTAAACTCACTCACTATAGCCCTCTAGAGAAAATAGTTTCTGCAACCCCTTGCTTTTTGCAGAACTTCTAATTCCATTATGATTCCTGATTCCATTAAATTTACTTTCCATCAATTATTTCTATGAAAAGCTTTATGCCCACTTTAGGTTTTCTGTGCCTCAGTTTGATTTCTAAGGGCTAAATCCATTAAACATTTAGCAGCTGAGTGCTGCAAAGCTTGATTACAAATGAAAAATTAGTCTCTATCCTAAAGTGGAATCGTAAGTCATAAGTGATGCAGTGGGGAAAGCAGATGTCTCGGGTTGAGACAACCATGCCCATGTACTGGGCAGAAAACTACTCAGACTGTTAATGAAAGATTTCTTTTCAGCTTCACCCTTTTCTAAAGATTCACCTCAGAGCAGCTATTAAGATTATTTGATTTCTTGAATTTCAGATTCCCTTGAAGGGAACTTCCCTTATCTAGTCCTGGAAGGACTGGAACAATGTTTTTAACTGTACCTAAGAAGTGATTGACTGTTTATTCTGGGGTTGCTCTGCAATCAGTGCTCCAGGAAGTGAGAAGCATGGGTTCAACCTCTTACTTAGCCTAATACGATAAGGAGTGTTTAAGCCTACCATTCAAACCACCAGTGCACCAATCTAATGCTCAAACCACTAGATTTAAGACTGACTTAAGAGATCATATTCACATTGTCTTTTGAAATACGTTCCCTTCTGTGCCTTTCCTGGGTGGGAGGTGAAAGCTAACATGACTATAGAGATTTGTGTACTACTCTGAAGAAGACATTTTGGATAGGGAGGCTTTTTCTTTTCTGTGTTCTCTAGGATCTTTGAGTAAAGAGCTAGGAAGAGTACTATGAATGTATTGAATTTTTTTGGTCACTTTCCAATTAAATCTGGTAAGTGAGACAATGATCATTTTTATAAAATACCAAGGGAGTTTCTGGCTGATGCATATTTATCCATTGGGATCTTATATTCTAATAATGTAGAATCTTAATCAGCAAGTGCTCCCATCCATCCACCCAGGAAAATGAGCATATTGGAGTTAAATTGTGTAAGAATAGGAAGAGTAGGTGAAGCCTACTTAAGGAACCACTTCGAAGACAGAAGGTGTTTTTGTATTGAAACTATAAAGATGGAAATGGTACAGAGGCTGAAGGAGAGAAATTTGATTTAAAATACGGTGGGATTTATGCTGGATTTTTGTGCTTCGGAGGAATAATAGTCACCAATGTATTGCTGAAATAATGGGGTTGTTCTTGGAGGAAAATTAATCATATTGATTCTACTGCTACACACAAGTTCAACAACAGTAGGTATCAAGAAATGGTTCATGCACCTGAATGTTTTTTTCACTTAGAGCTAGTTTAGTGACCTAAGATCTTAAGATGATTTAAAATGGAAAAGATAAAGGAACTTCTTTCTACTTACTGTCTTTAAAATAGTTTTCCGTTTTCACTGGAAAATGGATTTGATTAACTATGTGATGTTTGGGACATCTGGGAAAGTGTTACAAACAGAATCTTAGGAACAGGAATGGAAAACTGACCTATCCTAACAGACATGGAGGTGTGAAAGAGAAGGGCTAAAGAGCTGTTGCAGGCTAAAGTATGGTATGAAGAATCCCTGATATGAAGGACAAGAGAAAACAGATCAGACATAAAGCAAAATGCTTAAAAGACAGGATAATTGAAAATGAACCACTTGGAAAATGCTGAAATTGAAATTAAAGTAGGCGGGGAAAAAAACATCCTGCTGCTTTTTTCAGTTGGCTGCATGCAGTTTGATCACCAAGCTAGAAAAACAGTTGCAATGGCAAGGACACTTTCCTGTTAGCCTTTACCTTGAACCATATAGATCTCCTGATGTCAGATTTCATTTTGAAACACTCAGTCTTGTAGCTGACATGAAAAAAAAAAAAAAGCATAAAGAATGAATAGGGAAGATGTGTGGGCTCTCCAAATAGAAAATCTCCTGACAAATACTTCTGTTGTGCTGAAGCTCAACTGTTACTGACACAGGGCTTGAAGTCATCTTCTGACATGTTCCAGGAAGACAAATGTCTCCTGTGATTAGGAATGACTCAAAATACTCCCGTCCATTGTAAGGAAACTCTTGAGTGACCATCTTTTCAAAGAAACAGGTTCTGCATCTTCCTGCAACAAGTCCTTTTTGTGCAGAATTATAATGTCTGAAAGGAACTGTGGACACTGACTTTAAAACTGCAAGCTCTGCATGTGTCACTGCTGCTTTGAGATTAGTCGTTAATGAATGACTTAGAATATATGATGACTGAAACAGTATGTAAGTATTAATGAGCTGTAACTGAGACCTAAAGATATCCAGGAACAAAAGCTGGCTTTTTTCCAGGAAAGGAGGCTGTTGCTGCATGCCCCTTACAATCTACCACAGAGATTTCTGAAATGATTTTACAGTGTTGCAGCCAGTAGTAGTTTGTTCAGCATGTCTAGCAAGTTGCATAATTGAGAGAAAAATCACATCCATAAGCATTATAGCTGTGCTGCCAAGCCTGCACATGAACAGAGTCTACACTAACAGGACAAATTATTAGTATAAACTGTATTTTTCAGTCATGAAGTGTTACGAGCAAAGCTCTTGTGTAATTTTCATTATTCTCAGTGAATCCACTGCATTGCCTCCTCGCCAGCTTACACCACTTTCAGTCTCAGCCTCCTCCGTGTTCCCTCTGCAGCTGTTAAAGGGAGGGAGAGCTGCTGTGCTTGTTATTGTTTCTGAAACAGATTTTTTTCTCTTGCTTTCTTTTTTTCTCCAGCCCCTGCCATCTTTACCTTTTAGGAGTGTTCTTGATTAACAGGAAGCAAAAAACAAGCTGTACTCTATCATAGTATGTATGTTTATTGAGGTATTTGAACTAGTGTGTAGTCTGTAATTATCTGTTGGAAAAGATAGTTTGATTCCTCCTGAAAGGAGGGCATATAAAGCCTCTGGAAACTTAAACCATTGCTTAAGATCATGTGATGATTGCTTTCTGTTCCTGAAGTGTAGCTACTGTGCTTTACCATTAGAGAACAGCAATTGCATTTCTCTGCCCTACAAGAACTGAACTGCTTGAAAGCTCTGCTTTGCCCTTGTGGATAGATACTGGATAAACTTACACAAATATTTATTTGTAGTTTTTAAAGCATAACAGTGGCATGCTGGCAAACTGATAGACTGGGGAGGGAAGCGATATCCAGCTAGGTGAGAAGTCATTAGCTTGCCCCATGGCATAGCAGGAGTTACTTTAAGTTGCTGGGCTCAGTCAGCTTCAACATGGGTGTTACTTGTGCCTTCTAATATTTTCTGACATTAATGTGTAGTGTTTGGTTTGTTATTATGTCAACCTACATATGAGTTTGACATATAATAGGTACTTTTTTGTCACATATTTTAAGTGACTTGTTTAAATAGCCTTAGCAACAGATGGCTTGGTTGACAGCATGAAGTAGTTGTTGCAACTGCAAAACCCACAGTACTTGGATAATTCAACACATTTGATACTTTTATCTTATATCATACCTTTTTACTTTGTTTTTAAGTCTATAATTACCTGCTTAAAGCAACCTTGAATATTATGTTTTGGGCTTGATTGCATTTTGAAATTGTTCCTTTCTTAGTGCTGTATCAGATACGTTTTAAGGTTTCTCTAATTGGGCCTCACTTCAAGCTGTCAAATTGCTATTGTTACAAAGTATTACCACTCCCTCCACCCACATGATTTGCAGGGTGCAGAGTAATACAGCATTACAAGCAGACTTGAAACACAGTATAGCAAGATGAAGCTGAAGAGATGAGTTGCTCCTTCTGAATCTCTTTCCTTATCATGTGGATAAGCTGAAAATTATTAGGACTTTTGATTTTTATTTTTAAGTTATCTTTCTAGCTAATCTGTTGTCTTCAAACAGTTGTAATATAAACATACATGTGAAATTCTTGTTTGAGTTAAAGGCAGCTATCAGTGAATGATTCATGTTTGGTTGTAGTGTTTCCACATGTGACACCCAAAGGAATTAATGGCATAGACTTTAAAGGAGAAGCTATAACTTTCAAGGCAACTACTGCTGGAATCCTTGCTACACTCTCTCATTGTATTGAACTCATGGTAAAACGTGAAGAAAGCTGGCAAAAAAGGCTAGATAAGGTAAGATCATTTTCCTTTTACTTTTATTGAAAAAAAAAGTTTCTTTAGCTTGAAATTGACGTTTCAAATGAGCTGTTCTTAACTTTTTTATTACAGATAGTATTCCTATATTTTTAATATCTATAGAGAACCTGACAGTATTCCATAGTAACAAGGGTATTGCTTGCAGCCTTCTAAAAGAGACCTAATTATCCATACTTGCAAAATGATGTGCAAATCCCTGAAATACTGTAATTGTGATAAGAGATGGTGACAATACTGAGGAGAACAACCAGTTCTAACTTTAAATGTCTCTTTAAGATTATTTCTCTTTCATTTAGGAGATTGACGAAATTAAGCCATGTGTTATACTATTGGTTAAATTTTTTAGGTGTGTGTGGTACTAAAATGTCTGTTATTCTGATGGCAGTAATAGTTCGTGCTAAGCCTACTCAACCACTATAGCAACTCAAAAGGTGCAGTGCCTTCTCATGAGATGTGTTGGAGGTGTGGCTAGGTTGTACTTCACACTTTGTTTTCTAGAATCCTGCCATCACTGGCTGGTGTCCTGTGCAGTCCTCTAGCTGCTGTTGTCTCTTGTTTTTCAATTAATGTGATTCCATGTAGTGTATATCACACTACAAATCTTAACCATATGTTTTAGTGGTACACGATTCAAAGAATGAATGTGTGTGGACAAAATACATCCATGTTTGAATCCTTGCCACTGTCTCCTGGGTTCTTTGTCCATATGTCAAAGGCCTGGCACTGTTGAACTGTATTGCAACTTTTTGTCAAAACTTAATTTGTTACTGCTTCATTTAAATAGTTGGAGAAATTACAGTAGATATAAGACTTGAAGCTTGATCATAGGGTAACCCAGGTTGGACTAGACACCTCAAGAGGTCTGTCTCTGTCCATTCTCTTGCTTAAAGGAAGGAGAGTTTGAGATAAGACTGGGTTGTTCAGGGCTTTATCAAGTCTGGTTTTAAGTCTACAAGGCCATAGTGTGCACAGCTTTTCTGGGCAGGCTGTTCTGCTGCTCAACTGTTGTTATAGTGAAGAAGTTTTCCTTATATCCAGTTGGAGTAACCCTTCTACCAGTATCTGCCCATTGTTTTTCATCCTTCTACTATACACTGCTGTGCAGAGTCTGGCTCAGTTTCTTTATGACTTCTGTGGAGGTATTGGAAGGCTACTATTAGGGCCCCTCAAAAAGCCTTCTTTTCTCTGGGCTGAGCAAACACAGTTCACTCTTGTTGATCAGACTTTGCGTAGAGCATGGATGAAGTGAATTTTTCTTGTCCCTCGGTTAGTATATGAATAATATGTTAATATAAAATTTGAATTCATTTAGTTTAGGTATTTGTCACTTTTCTCTGAACTAACTTTAAAGAACTTGTTTTTAGCTGCAAATAGTTTAACAAGTTCAAACCTAAATTTCACTTTGGGTCTCATGTAACTGACACTTTATACAGCAAGAGTAAATATGTTTTAAAGGGGCCACAAGCTTATTTGGACTTGTTTTCCCAGCAATTAAAATAGCAAAAGCTTCTAAAAACTTGGAGGTTTTAAGTTGCTCTGCTTTGGTACACTTGCAACTTTTTAAAGTCATGTTTGTCAGTTAAATTTTCTGGGGTCTACAGCACACTCATGGTAAAGTACATTTTGTGTTGTTACAATTGCTAGCCTTTTGGAAGAGGAGATTTCTATTGAACTAAATAATAGAGAATTGTGGTGGGCTAGCCTTGGCTAACAGCCAAATGCCCACCCAGCTGCTCACCATCCATCCAGCAGGACTAGGAGGAAAAATAGGGTGAGGAAGCTTACGGGTCAAGAGAAAAACAGGAAGATTGCTTACTGGTTCTTGTCATGGCAGAATGTTCTTGACTTGGGGAAAATCAATTTGTTGCTGATTTAAAATAGATCCAGTTAATGGGAAACAAAAAGTCAAACACTAAAACAGCTTTCTTCCCAAGCTCAACTTCACTCCTTCACTGCAGGACCCTCTACCCACTGCTTGCTATCCCCAGGCACTGCAGGGTGAGGAATGCAGCATTGCAGTCATTCCAAAACATTTCATTTCTGCCATTCCTTCCTCCTTGCACTTTCTACTCGCTCCAGCACAGGCACTCTCTGTAGGCAGCAATCCTCTGGGAGAAATCTGCTGCAGTATGGGTCCTCCATAGGACATGGTTCCTTCAGAAAATGTCCCTCTGCTCTGGTGTGGGGTCCTCCATGGGCTACAGTGTGGATAAGGTCTCTGTCCTGGAGCTGCTCCTCTTCCTCTTCTGGTCATTGCATCTTCCCTGTTTCCCACTTTTTTTGTTTCCCCCTTCCTTTCTCTCTGGGGTGGTTTTTTTCTCTTAAATACATTTCTGGAGAGGTGTCACACACATGGTGGATGGGCTCAGCTGTGGTGGGTCTGTTTCAGAGCTGGATAGAACCACCTCTGTTTGACACAAGGCAGCTTTTGGCCTCCTTGCACAGAGGCCACCCCTGCAGTCCCCCATGACCAACACCATGACACCTACACCCTTAAAGTTGACTGTATTCATACCTTTGCTAACACTATTCCACTTCAGTTCTAGAGCTGCTTTTGTTTTCTTTTTATTGTGTTGTTTTAGTGGTTAAACATGGCTTTACAAGAGTATCTTCTGTAACTATAGGCCTGAACAAAAAACATTGCTCTGTCACCTGATAAATAGATGTGAGAGGAGAATGGTGTTGATCTTTGTACTTTTGGTTTTCTTGAATAGACGTGTACGCTGCACTGAAAAGGAAGTACATACTGTGAGATAATAAAGTTCAGAATACCTTCTTGAAGAGATTAGTGGGGAAAATTACATGAAATTAGGCAGCTGTTTGTGTTTTAGCTGGTAGGGTTTTAGAGCTCTTATAAGTCTGTCCAGTGCCTCTAAAAGACCATCTAGCAGAGTTTAAAGGGGCAGCATCAAGTTTTTCCTTTGAGTGTCGGCAGATTCATACTGCTGGCTCTGCACTGTGCAGGTTTGTCACAAGGAAGAACAAGATCTCTGAAGGTGGCTAATATCAATGAGTGTTTTACAAGTAGCATAAGTGCCACTGTAATCCAGCTTACTTTCCTCTCCTCTCCAGCCTCCTCACTCCAGTAGCTTCAGAACTGCCTTTTACTTAACAGCAACACACAAAGGTGATTTAGTAAGAGTCCTGCTATGTCCCAAAACTATACATCCTCCATCTTCTAGAGGGCTATCTTAGCCTAAAGATGCAAGACAGATTTATGTCTCCCGAACTTGAAGCAAATGTGTTTCAAAATTATAGATGTCCTAAAAGAATTCTCATATTAAAAAGAGCTCAAGTTCAGTAGAATTTGTTGAACAGGAGGTGATCATCTTATGAAGTATCTTTCTTTATAACGGCCTTTTTTAATGTAAGAAAGGATTTTAAGTTACATTCTGAAGGTTGGAAACTATTTCTAAACCTTTGAAAACAAGAAATTGTTTTAAAAACATCTTAATTTTTAAGGAGACTGCTAAAATAATGCATTTGATTGTAATTTTAGAATTCTATACTTAGGTTTCTTTCTGTTACCAAAACAGTTAGATGGCCAGAATAAAAGCAATATGAAAACATGTAGTGTTACCTAAAGGTAACTGTAACTGTAGTTACAGCTTTGCTTTCAACCTTTCACTTTTAGCTATTAAAATCCAGAGCGTGACTTTTTATTTTTCCAGTGTAGTATATTTTTCAGTATGAGCCTCTTGAATGTATTATTTTAAAAAAATACTTTTCTTTAAAATTTTCTTAAAAATGGATAAACAAGGAAAGAATTTAATCTCTAGTATTTGGTCCATTGTTCTATTTGCAGCAAAATCCTTGTGATGATGCTTTTCGTGTTATCTTGACTGCAGAAACATTTTTCTATTCTTGTTTCCTTTGGTCTTGCTAATTGTTATTAATGAGCAAAATTATCTTCTGAACATTAAATTTTACCTTAAGATTAACACATCTAGCTTATTTTGTTCACCTTTGACAATTATAACTTAAATGTCTCATTACATTTTACCAAGTTTGAATATACCAGTAATTTTTCTGCTGTGCAGTCAGTTTCCCAATTTCTGCTTTATTTAATGTTGTTGCCAAGAGAAGCTGGCATATTTGGAGAATTGTCTTTTGACACATGTGAATTATCAGTAATTTGTGGATTGAAGTACAGAAAGTGTGGGGATTTGGGGTGAGCGCGAGGTGGCGTTGGTTGGGGGGTTTTGTTTTTCCTTCCAAGTGTTCTGGTAAAACCTCTATGCCTTCTTTTATTGAATTACTCAAGTCATGCTTTATGCATCTTCAGGACTCCCCAATTCTTTTCAAAAAAGATAAACGTGCAACATTTTGTGACATATGAGTGTTAGCAGTTACTGCCTCTTTGTGATCGTTTCAGAAGGGAAAAGCATACGTTCACAGATAAAGACAATACTGTCTTCACCTAAATGCTGCTTTCTTTTCCTAAGAATTTTCCTGTGGAAAACGATACTACTTTGTTTTACATCAAAACTGTTGATTTACTTTTCAAACTTTGCTTTAGAAACTGGAAAATGTATTCCAGACTGAACATTACTGACAAATTCCCAGTTGGTAAACTCAGCCTTTCAGTATTGCTTTGGGATTTTCCACTAAAACTTTAAAGTTCAAATTGGGTTACTGAATAATTATACTCATGTCTGAAAGTAGTCTGTGGTGTGCAGTTGTCACCTGTAAGACTTAACTTTTTTCCACCTGAAGTGATTCTGAAAGGGGACAGAGAAGCATCTTGCATACTAAAGCTAAATTCTGCAAGAATTCCATAAGTGTGTATAGCTTTTTCACTGAGACTGGCAGTATGTAGAATTTGCAGGGGACATATTATACTTAATCTGATTCTGGCATTACTACTTTTTAATTCAAAATGTACAATGATAATAGACATCAGTGGCGCTAGGTAGTCACACACCTATTATGGGAGAATGATGTTGTTAGTCTCTGCATGGAGTTTGCAAAATGATTCACGTTGATCCTGTGCCAGCTAATTATAGATAGAAGCTGACACGCTGTGACTCATTGGTATCTCACCACATTCAACAAGTTAGTTTTTTACTAGTCTTACTTTTCACTCTTTGTTATCACAGCACAAGGATCTGTGTCAAAGAGGCTTATATAAACTGTCAGTCAGATACAAAGTCTGACCCTCAATGAACCATGAATAGCTATGCTTAAACTAGATTCCAGTTTTTGCTTGCTGATCTTATTTCTCCTACATGACTTAGGTATCCTCAAGGTAGCTAGCTTCCCAAGCTTTGTGTTTATATATGCATGTATATGGGCAAACATGATGCATGCATGCAAATTAATTCAGAAAATCAGCAGCTTTGTAATTGTTACTTGGAAAAAATAATACTGGTCACTCCACTTATTGGCATGTTAGCTATTATCAGTCAATTTATTCTTACTGTGTCAAATAATAATGTAATTTTACAGGAGATAGAGAAAAGGAGAAGAATTGAAGAAGCATACAAAAATGCTGTGACAGAACTGAAGAAAAAGTCCCACTTTGGAGGGCCAGACTATGAGGTACAAATTCTGCTTTTGAAATTTTTAAAAACACTATGACTTTTAAAGATTTCTTTTTTCTCAAAGAGGGAAAGGGATGGTAAATCAAGGTGTTTGGCTTATGCAAGTGTGTTCGTGGTACTTCTATTTTTCCACCTTGGAAACTGAAACTGGATGAAGAAACTCAGTCCCTAATTTTTTGAGAATGGAAGTCTGTATTTACCTCAGGCTTCCATGTTCTGCTTTTGTCTAAAGCATTTTGCTTACTGATATTTCTGCTGATTTTTTTATTTTCCTGTACATTTGATAGTGCTTATATGCAATAGTTTTGTTCTTTCCCTTTTTAATGGCTCAGCTATATAGATAAGTAAAGCAAATATGAAAATCATGACTGCAGAGGTAGTCCTAGAATCTGAAGTTTAACTTGAATAGATTTTTAACTTGTCACTGCCATTTGAAATTTCATGTTGACAAATTCAGTCATTTTAGGTTCCTTTCATCTGTTAAATTGCATATTTCAGCAGCTTCCTCCTGAGACAGTCAAATTCTAAGACACTTAAACCACCTCCTAAAAAATAATGAAAGCTAATGTACCTATAATGCACTTCACATAATTTTTCAGAACTTGACCCCTTCATGTACATTAGTCAAACATGTTTCTGCTTACAAATCATAGCCTGAGAAACAGTTCTAATATGTTGAGATATTTAAAACATACTTGAGCTTAGGTTGTCTGTTGTGATTGCAGCATACACTTTAAAAGAAAAAGATGGATAGGGAGTTGGACTTTGTCTACTGGTTATGAACCCAGCCGCTTCTCCCAGATATCCCTTGTTGTAAAATAGTTTTTTGAAATTAGCTGGACCAGTTTGTTTTACAATAAAAAGCAGTAAATCTAATTTTCTGAAGTTAACATTTTACTTAGTAAACTCAAGTTTTTAATAGTTGACTCAACTCTACCTGCTGTTTAGCATTAAACTAAAGTTCTTTCCAAGAATTCTCAATAGAGAACCCCAGGATTTTGTCTTACGTTTCAAGCACATATCTGAAATCTGCCCTAAGGCAGTGGAATACTTGGAAGGAGTCTAACTACATAATTATGTTAATATGTGTACATTACTGACACTCTGTAAACATTTTAAGAGAAGCTATTTGTTAATTAAAACCTAAATCTGATGTCAAAGCGTATTGACACTGTTACTCAGTTTCCTGGTTTTCTTATTCTTTGTACAACTATCCCTAAATTGTAGTTAGAGGGAGTAACTTCCTTTAAGAAGTAGGGTTTTCAGAGGAATTGTAGTCTAAGAATATTGTTGAAAATATTTGAGGTCTGTAGAAAATATTTGGTTCCATCAATTATATGCATAAGTATGTATTTCAAATGTTAAACTTCAGTGGAATTCTCATGTCTCCAAAACTTTGAACTAGTTTTGTTTCTTATGCTCTAGGAGGGTCCTAATAGTCTGATTAATGAAGAAGAATTCTTTGATGCTGTTGAAGCTGCTCTCGATAGACAGGATAAAATGGAAGAACAGGTATTGATACTTGAAAAATGCCTTAATGATAGGCACTTTGTGGGAGACTTCTGTGACTTAAGCTCAGTCTTGGGGTGCTTCTCCTGAAGCTCTAGATATTTTATTCTGGCACTCAAAAGGGGGATTCACTTGGTATTTTTACAGTTAAATAAATTGTTGTTTAACATGAATTTTGAGAAGGTGACTTCACAGCTTACATAGAAAAAGATAGTATAAGTGTTAAGCTAATTGAATGTTCGTAGTTTCTAATTCCTAAGCAAGTGTCCTGTGTAAAACTTATCTTTGTATGTAACTGATGTCCTGTGCAAATAAGAATATCAAACACTGCAGCTGTTTCTCAAAAACTAATTATTGCTCTGAAGTTTCTTTTGACTCTAGCAGTGTGTCAAATAGGAAAGACATGATTCTGTTGGTGTTTTTCTTTAAAAATTCTGTAGGCTCTGCCTACTTCTCCACTCATTTCTTGAATACACTTCAGTGGCAAGGATCAAAAAGGGGTGTGATGCATGTGAGGAAATATATAGAATATGAGAACGTATAGCAGTATATAAAAGGAGAGGGAATAACAAAGTGGTGAACCCTTTGTCTTAAAAATGTTTAGGTTTATAAATATAGTGAATACAATGACTTGGTTAAGATCCAAAAGACTTTCTGGTGGACATACAGTACCCAACAAAGTTTACCTATGTTGGGATCTCTTAGCAGAGAGTAAAAGTTTTGAGTGACTGTTGTACTACTACATGGATCTTTAATGCTGCCAATCTCTTTTCCTTAACTCAGAAATACACTTCGAAGTATAGATTAAATCAATCTTCAGACCTATTCACTTACTGAGAATTCCAGCAGGATGATAGCTTCATGCCTGTCATGGACAGCATTAGTTGAGGCCACTAAGTAGATTGAAGATGACTCACTCTTTTCATAGTCCACCCAGTAGCAGCTGACTACTAGTAATTAAACCTATTTTGTTGCAGTCCCAAAGTGAAAAGGTCAGATTACACTGGCCAACACCCTTACCTTCTGGAGATGCGTATTCTGCTGTGGGGACTCATCGATTTGTCCAAAAGGTAAGATAGTCTCATGATCTCCTATGTATATGATGACCTATGATATTTCTGTGTAATATTTTGTATAGTTAGATGAGATTTTTTTTTAGGTGTTTCTAGTAACTTTCAATGGCTTTATTTTCAAATGAAATAGCTGGAATTGGAGGAGGACTGTTTTCTGTCTTGACTCAAAAAATACTGATTTGAGTATCTATTTAGAATACCCTTGACTTGTATCAAGCTTGTCAGATAACAAAGGAGAAATCCCAGCTTGCTAACCTCAGTGTTTTTAACATACCTTCACCAAAATTCATTGAATTTATTTTATAAAAAAAAAAAAAATCCAGTGTCTTGTATCAGGACCAGTTGACTTTTTTAGTGTTATTGGAAACACTGTGTTCCTCTCAGGGCTATGCTGGGAGTGTAATATGTAATAGGTGCATGAAATCAGCATTTGCTGCTGTGCTTGCTGCTTATGGTGCTTTTGTTTTCCTTTTCTTCATTATCTTGTGCTTGCAAGTTGGTACTGAATGCTCTGTTGTGCCTTTGTTCTGATTACTTGGTTTTTTCTTTGTCTGTCTCTGGTAGCCCTATAGTCGCTCTTCCTCCATGTCTTCCATTGATCTAGTCAGTGCCTCTGATGATGTTCACAGATTCAGCGCCCAGGTACTGTATTAATGTGTAGAGTGGGGGTTGCATATCTTTGCTGTATTTCATCCTCTTCTCTAGAACCTGGGTTTTTGTTACAGAAATCACTGCTTGCTTTAAACTAGTATGTTGAGACAAACAAAGGAGTTCTCTATTTCTGCGCTAAATGATTGTCTTTTTACATTCTGCTTGCATGCATATCACTTGTGCAGAGGCCCAAATCTTGTGAAACTGTTGGATTTAATTCAGCATCTTTAATAAAAAAGCCTATAATTTGAAAATTTTGTAATTCTGATTATAATAAAAGTAGAACAATACTACTGTGTGGGCTGGAGATGGTCTTGGCTTCAAATTGAATAGTTTTTCTTGCTTTTCAATCAAAGGTTTTATTTTTGTCTTTAACTTTTGTTTGTAATGACATTAAGATACTAAATGTTAAGGTTTATTACCATTTTTTACCTCTACAACTAGTTTTATTACAGAAAGGTCATAAAGTGTGTTGTTGACAAACAAGCTTGGGGGTATGAGAATTTTTACTGAAGAGTAAATATTCACTTACCCTTCAAAAAATGTCTGACATCCTGAATATGTCAATGTATTCATAGTAACATTCTAGTAAAGTACAAAATTACCCTGGGTGCTTGCTCTGGAGATCATAGTTTACAGTAGAATTAGACGGGTGAGTTCATGTGTTTGTTCTTTAGTCTCAAAAAAAATTGTTCAGACACGGCATTCATGCCATTAGTTTCCTTCTGCTGTGGTCCGTATGTGATTGTGAATATGGCTTCTTTCTGGGTCTATTATTTTGGAATTTTTTTGAAATTTTTAACTAACACTGCAAACAATCTGCTCTTGCAAATAGAAGGAATGGGTTTTCTTTTGATTAACAGATCCTGGAATTGTACCACCTGCAGACCTTACTACCAGCTTTATGGCCAGGTCCCTAACACTTAAGGACTTGCTTATTGGATGGAAATCCCACCACTTGCCTTGACCTTTTGCAGTCAATTAAATTCTGAAATTTGAACTTACTGCAAGGGGCAAAGTATGCAGGTCACATGGCACAACACTGATAAGCTCATCTACTAGTACTCCAGTAGTCAAGTTAGTTTTTCAAGTTTTTTGTTTGGGAGGAAGGGGGAAATCAAGTAATAGAAAGTAAGTTTGATTCCAAAGATAGGAACTGGTTGTCTGTCAGGCTATGGGTACATGGGCAGTTCAATATAAGGGAAACTCACAGTTGCTAAAATAAGCAGGCCTCCTCATTTTCACCTCTTTTACGCCTGTAATAACATTTGTGCATTCATGTGATAAAGCTGAGTATCAGAGCACTAGTGTGGCTGAAAAACTAACCATTTAAAAACAAGTGTGAAGTTGACCGGGTCCTTACAATAACGCAAATTGAGGTTATGGATCTGGATCAAATGGACTGGAGTCAACCTGTTGCTCTTTTCAGCTGCTGCATGGATTATAATATGTAGAAGTTACTACTGCGTGCCTTCAAATGCAGTTTCAAGTTAATGAACTCAATGCAGAAAGGATGATCTTAATTTACAGGAAATTACTCTCTTCCCCTCT